GAATTATGAGGCACCAGCTGGACTGTGAGAGGCGGGTTAGATTTATAAAGGAGAAATATGGTGGACATTTCCAATTTGGTGAAGATGTTCAGGGTGGGTAGCAGGAAGGAGAGGCAATGGATCGGCAGGAGGAAACCGAGATGTAGAGAAATATGCCGAGTAAATGGATGAGCTAGGAAATGGATGAATGGATGCACTGCAATTGGAATCCAGGTCTCTAACCATTCTGCTCCTCCTAACTGGTCTTCCTGCCTCCATTCTGGCATCCTTGTCCAAGAAATTCTCCATTGTATTAAGTTTCTTTCTGAAACACAATTCTGATCAGCTCAGTCTCCTCCTTAGCATTTTTTCAATGACTTAGTATGGCTTTCAGAAAGAAGCTGAAACTCTAACATGGCATACAAATACCCATCATGAACTGGACTCACTCTCTTTTCTAACGGGTCTACCATATGGAACCTTTGTTTCAGCCACTAACATCTATCCACAGCTTCTTTACTGGACATGCTACCACGTCTCTCTACCTTTGTATTCGTTGTTCTTTCACTCTTAAATGCCTTTCCCTCCCCTTCTTCAATTAATGCCTTATTCTTCAAGCCTTGGTGCAAATGTCACCTACTGTGGTAAGCCTTTCCTTACCACACTCAAGCATCCAATTAGATTCAGATGCCTCTCCACGTTTCTATTATCACCCTGCTAATACATATTCCCATTGTTCCTTATCACACCACTCTGTAGTCATTAATTAACTTCCCTGTCTCCCTCACTAGACAATGGCACCTTTGTACCACCAATCTTCGGAATAATGCCTAGAACATAGTACATGCTCAGTAAGTGTGTGTCATACAGGAACACACTGTGCTCAGCCTTTATCAATTAAAATCAAAACATGATTTATCCAACTAAAAACAAATAACCAAATACTCAGGAAGTTATGTAAGAACCAGAATATTAACTTCTGTTATTTCAAGTTACTAATGTGACTCTACTATCTAAACAACCAAAGCCTTCAGGAATTATACAGAAACACAAAGTCAAAATGCAAAAACATCAAAGAATGTTAAGCCACTCTACACCATGGTATGTGTGTGAGGACTGCTGGTTCTACCTTAACACTAGCCTCTATTAATGGTTAAGTCACTGCCTTAAAAACGTGGGATTTAGGATGTCCCCTTCATGACACTTCTAGAGCTCTCTGTACTACTTGAGTTGACAAAATACATTCCATGGTTGACATCAAATTACTAATTAAGATTCATGCTGTTTGATGACATGCTACAATCTGGGCCTAACCAGATAGTTACATAAAATACAAAGCTCTACTACTAAGGCATTATCCAAACTGTGATGAGTCCAAAACAAGGTTGCCTTCATTAAAAAGAACCAAAATAAAAGGGTCATTATGAGGATGCACAGATGAAGAAAATGGAAGTAAGCTTTGTCAAATTGATTTAATTAATCTCAAGCAGAAGTCGTTAAGAGTCCTGAAATGTCGCTCTGAAAAAATTCTAATACCCATCAAAAGGTTGAGGATATAAATGAAAGTAGTTCCTCTCTATAGAAAACATGCCTTCCTTCTCCAGTTTCCCAGAACAATGAGAAACTAAATGAAAACAACTGAATCACAAGCCTTATACTGTACGCATCCACTATGCCATAGCTATCAATTTAAATTTTGTATGCAGTAAAAACTTTCATTTTAGCTAATACTATATAGATGTGTGTAATTAACCGCTTACTCCCAGACGCACTATCTTCAATATCTACCACTCGTGTGGTCAGTGTTATTTCCCTTCTCCCTTGTCGGTGACCTCCTCCTCTCCCCAGTCCCTTCAAGTGGAATCAACCGGCATTTCCTTTACTCTCTCTCTGGTAACCCAAAAGTTCTTATTCTTCTATAGGAGACATATGCCTTTGAGAAACTGATGAAAACTATGAGGCCCAGAAAACTGAATGTACCTACATACACTCAAATTTTTTCATATGACTTCAGTTTAAGAACCCTTATCCCCCATAATCACCTACACAAATAATTTCTACTACCATATGGCTCTCTTTTACAATCCCCCACAACTCCTTTACACACACACACAAACACAATTAAGGACTACTACAGTGGTTAACAACATAATACTCAAAATAATAAAATTTAGTCTAGGTAAAGCTTTATTTTACCAGCAATATTTATTAAGAATCCCAGATGAACTCCTCTCTACATGGCCTTAGAACATGTTGAGCACTTCAATAAGACAACTCAAAATAAGGAGTAAGGCATTTACTTTAAAAGTTTTCCAAGTCTTATTATTTGATCAACTTTCTTGCCTTAAAATGTGCTGAAATGGCTTCCTAAATTTATGTTTATGAACTCTGACATATCTGCTTGTAAAATCAGGTAAGGCTCAAAAATTATTTTGAGTACAAAAGCAATTTCCCATTGATATTCACAAACTCTTGGATTCAAATACTTGTTCTACTATATCAAGCTATACTCAACACCAAATAGTGTTAGCTAGGAACTGAAAGTGATACCATCTCATAACTTTCTAGTTACCTTGTCAAAGCATAAAAGATGAAACAGGACAAATGACCAAAAGGATGGGAAGAATAGAATCAAGGTGTTATTACTAACAGACAGAGATAAGTGCTTTTTCTTGATCTCACACATCCTAAAAGTGGAAGGCTCTTGCTAGATGTACCAAACTCTTTGTGGAAACTATCAGTTCGCTTTTACTTTTGCTTAAACTTTTAATCACTGTTTAAACCAGTTTTGTACTGAATCCAAAAAGAAAAAAGAAAGAAAGAAACATGATCACTCTTTTACCGCAAACTGATAAAATTTCAACATCAGGATTTTTAAATACATTAAACTTTGGTAATACACTCGCAAAACTTTTCTAAGTTTTATAACAGGGGCACCCATTAATCCCATTAACCCCCTGCCAGTATAGACAATTCACAAAGAGCTTGTGACTCAGTTCCTTCACTTGTAAATACTTGGGAGGGGGGGGAATATGAGGACACATCAAGTAATTCTTACTTTGCCTCAAGTTAGGGTGGAATTGATGAGACTTTAGACTGGTTGTTTTATTCTACCCCACTAGGTCCCTTTCCACATAATGGAAGGCTACATATTTCCTGTAACGATAACACTTCGGTCACTGTTTTCCAATCTGGACAGTTCATAATTGAAAGGCAAACAGCAGGCAAGGGAGAGAAGCACAACAGGTACATACCAAATGGCCAGATACCCTAAGAAAAGGCTATAGTTATACGTCACTGCCTCCTTCCTTATTATAATCAAGTTGCTGGTTAAAACAGAAAACTAGATATGCAACATGGGGCTTGTGCTCCAGACCTAAACGAAGAAACTTCAGACAGAGTATTTGCTGAATTTGTGCTAGAAAACCATATCCCCTCTGCCACCCAAATTAGAAAGTTTATTGATAAATGTCTGCCTAATATTTGACAGTGTTGGCAAAAATAGTCTTTGGCCAATATACTGTAAGAATTTGACCTGTTTTTAAGTTTCACTATTATTAAACCATTTTCCTATAAGCTGAAGGAGAAAAAAAAAAAGAGGAACCGTTTTAACTGATGAGTTGAAGACACTCCAGTATTTCTCAATCTAATACCAGGCCCCATAGATTTCATTCCTCTGCACATGAAGTCAGGGGCAGGAAATGGACTGTTCCCCACTGGGGCACACACTCTCAGGACGGGGAGATTTGTGCGGTCTGCCTACTGCTTTTGAGCGTTCTTAATCAACTAACTGGAAGTACTGGACGACTCTGACGATTACACACACGACAGTCGGTGGTACCTCAGCCAGCCTCTAACTCCCACGCTCCCCCCACTCTTCCAAAGAAATGTTTCTCGGAAGAGCACATGGAGAGGCAAGGGGAAAAAAATCATGTAGGCGCCTCTTCCTTAGATATCTGGTCAAGTAGAAAGACTGGGGGCCTACGTTGTGTGTTTTTTGTTGTTGTTTTGGGAATTTTTTTGTTCGGTTGGTTAATTGGTTGTTTTGGGGTTTTTCTGTAAGTCTGTGGGTGGGCTCCCAAGTAGTGGGACTGAAAAAAAGAGCTAGGTTCCCCTGCCCGAACCCTAAGCTTTAAGAGGCAAAAACCCAGCAACTGACAAGGGTGGGAGGGGAATGGAATCGCGCAAAGAAGGTTCGCGCCCACAAGTTAGACAAACAACAGCCCCTACCCGGTACTCGGGGTCTCCCCAAGTTGGGGTGGGGCCTTTCTCCTTCCCGCACCGCCTCCCGGGCTGCCAAGAGGGAGAAAGGGGTTAAGTGGAGAAGGGGGTGCTCTTCCGCCCCCACGCCGTCTCCGCGCCTCGGCGTGGCCGCTGCTTTAGCGGCTCCCGGAGTTGTACAGCGAGGTCGCGGTCACCCTTGGGAGGGGGCCCCGGGTCCCCCCGTGTTCAACGGCAGGAGGATCCCGGGGCTCTCGCTGTCCCCAAGGCCGGCGGGGGCTGCGGGAGCACTCACCAATTTAGGTTTGTTTTTCGTTTCCTCTTCGTTGGCGGCCCGGTTCCCCGCGCTCCGCTTGTTGCTTCGGCCCCCACCGGGTTCCTCGCCGCAGCCTCCGGCGCCCGACGCCGCCGCCGCCCCGGGCTGCTCCATCTTTCTCCGGCCCTGTCACCTGTGCCCTGGAACCCCACCTCTCCTCCACTGAGGAAGCCCCTCGGGGCGGTCCCGCTGCCCCGCGTGGATTTGGCAGCACCTCCTCCTGAGAGGGGGAGAGAGTGGGTCTGCCGAGTTCACGTCCCCGGGGCTCCTGACGCGACAAGCCGTTGCCACTACTCTGCGCTGGGGCAAGCCCTGCCCCCGAGCGGCTGCAATTACCACGGTCGCCGCCGCCGCCGCCCTCAGGGTGGTGTTTAGGGTGGAGGGAAAGTAGGTGCCTATCTCTTTAAGAGGGCCTCCGCACACGTGATTCATCAAAGTGCCCGCAGTCCGCCGCCCGGGCGCGGAAAGCTGCTTCCTACTCCTGCTGCCGAGCCGGCCGGGCTACTGAGCATGCCCGGCACGGCGACAGCTGCCAAACTAAAGGACTTTAAGCTGCGGTTAAGCACTGATTTCCCTTCCTAGGGGCCTAGCGTGAAATGGGAGGGAACTAGCCAAGAGAGAGGAGGTGTAGCCCATTTTACAGATGGGAACACTGAGGCCCGGCAGGATTCACGTGTGAGTTTTACCTGAGTCTCCGCTTCCACTCGTGTAGGCCAGAGCACCTTTCCCGGCTGGCCGAGGCCTCGCTGGGGGTGTGGTTGTGCTCCCCTCCGTGGGAGGGGTTGATTGGCAAGGCAACTAGCATCCTGTAGGAAAACCCCCAAGGGGAGCGCTGATTAATTGCCTAGACAGACTGTACGGGTGAAAGTGTAAGGAGTGGGTGCTTTCTGTTGCCATGATTGCGTTGCGACCAAAGAAATACAGTCGTTCCTTTATTCCCAGGCTGCCAGGTAGTAGAAGCAGCAGGCGCCCACTGCCTAATCCCAAGGAAGTGTAAGGCTCTTTAGCCAAAGCACCTATGGAGAGCTAACAATTGGATTGAGTGCTATTTTCAGTTTCCTGAGCTACTTTGGGTTTATAGTTGTTGTGGGGAGCGAATAAGATCATGTGTGTCAAAGCTTTGTTAAAAATGTAAATCTCTAGACAAATGCTAGGTGATTTGGTGCAGCGGCAGCAACAGGGCACCGCTGGTATTCGTAATCTTTCCTCCTGCAGTTGTCAGGAAGAGGCCCACGCCGCTTTAAAAATAAAGTTCACATTGAGAACATTAGCGGGGCCGGGCAGAACTTGAATGAACCACCATCATACAATCTAGAGAAGCTACCTGAAATGTAAATTTAGATACCAGGTCTACAAACATGCTCATGTGCCTGTTATTCAGGTATCTTCAGGCTATGACCCTTTTGCCCTTCTCCCCTTCAACCTAACTTCTGCTATGCCGAAGCTAATATGTTTATGAACATATTTTTTGAGAGTGCATTAGGATAAATTTGACCATGCTGTAGGTGTGATTGTGATGAGGCAATTAACTTGGAAAGTAGAATAAAAAGAATGTTAGACATCTGAAAGCGGTCTTAATCCTGGCTTTGCCATTGTCATTAACTTTCTTTTTAATCATGCAGATGGTAAACTACCCAAGGACAGCAGAGAAGAGGGAATACATGCTCCCAGACAGGATGGGCAAGGAGCCCTAAGGTAAATTTGCTTTGTTGAAGTTTCTGTTTGACTTAAAATTTGATGTATATTCTGAATTTAACTCACTACACACACACACACACACACACACACACACACACGTGTGATTTGAATTACTTAAATGCCCCCCCTCCTGAAAAATGGCATAGAAGTGGTTGCTGCAGTAAGATGTGACCTGGTTATCCACTGCTTTCACGTAATTCCTGTTTGAGAGATGTGGGTGTGAGCCATAGCTGAGTAACCCCCAAGCTCAAATGTTGCTTAATAATCTGCCCAGTAGATCTTTATTGAGCTCCTTAGAGTATACCAGGTGATATCCAGAGTGCTGTGGGTTAGGAGGATGAAGCTCACAGTCCTGCCCTTTAGAACCTCCTAGTCTACTGGGAGAGGCCAGTTGTTAATGACTGTGCTTCATTGCAACACATAGGAACAGGGAGCCCACGGAGCACCTGAGGGGGGTCACCACCGGAGTGCCAGAGACTCTGGGACACCTTACCAAAGAGGATGATCTTTGAGCTGAGTCTTAAGGGTCTGACTGAAGACACTAAGTATTTGTTGACAGCCTACTAAGTGTTTGATACCCTGCTAGGCATTGAGGGTCCAGTGGTGAACAAGACGGATGTGGCTTGCTCTTGTGGAACTTTCTGGCTATCGGGAAGGATATTAAACAAAAAAGTATTGAGCAATTACAAGGCAAAAAAGGAGAGTGAAGAGCATCCCAGGCAAAGGAAATGACCATAGCATGTGCAGAGACTCTGTGGTTAAGAAATTGGAGGTGACGGATAGGGGCTGCTCTTGGCAAGAGAAGCAGAACAGATGAGCAGCTTCCAGATCATGAAGGTCCCCACTTGTAGATCTCATTGGTCTGGTTTTAAAAGCGGTGAAGGCGTTGTAATACAAGTGACTTCTGTTTTGAGTGTGTGAATATTTGAAAATGGATCAACATTATTTTGAGTGTAAGGCTGGGTTTCACCATCCTCAGGCCAGGTGAAGCTACATTTGAAGTCAAATGAGAGGTACATGTAAAAGATGCATAATCTGTACTGCAAAAAGTGAGAAAGTTTGTCCCTGAGATGGCTTACATTTGACTTTATTGTGGTTATCTCAGCCCCATCTTAATTCTGGCTGTTTTCTTTTCAGCATTTTGTTCCAGTTAATGTAAACAGTCATTACAAACAAACAAACCAACCCCCTTCCTTCAAATACCAGGGCCTCTCTTGGAAGCTAACACACAAAAGGAGCCACTGGTCCCCTGCAAGGACACTTTGTCCACTGATTATGAACCAGGCACCTCACCAAGTGCAGTCCTAGGGCTGATCCCACTACATTTCTTTATTTTTACCTTCCTGGGACACACAAATAGGCCGGTGGATGGAGAGACATCTTTTCTCTGATGCTGCAGAAAGAAGAAGGCTACTACCATCAGTTGGGACTTCAAAAGTGTGTGTTAGACCCGCTGACCTTGTAGTCTCTCCCTCTGGCCTCTCATGAGTTTAGCACCCGGTTAACATTAAAAGCCAGCCCTGGGGAAAAAGAAAGATAAAAGGCTGCTAGGCTCTTTCTTCAAACTGATCTTAGAGCCATCCATTACCCCAGAGGTTTCTTTTTATTTTTTCAATTGGGGTAGAGTTGTTTTACTATGTTGTGCTAGTTTCTACTGTACAGCTAAGTGGAGCAGAGTTCCCTGTGCTATACAGCAGGTTCTCATTATTTATCTATTTTATACACATTAGTGTGCGTATGTTAGTCCCAATTCATCCTGGCTTTCTGTGTCTCCCTTCTGCTACGTGTTCTCCTCTAAATAATCTGGGCCATTAATAGAGAAATTAAAGCCAACATGGATTAGACAAAAGTAAGAAATAAACACCTCCAAGGTTATGGAAAAATATTTATGAATTAAAGGTTGCCTGAGAATAAACAAGTATTTATTAAGCACATACTACATGGGCAACACCAAACTAGATGTCGTGCGAATAAAAAAGTACCAGATGTTCTGCGCTAAAGGCATACATGTCTTCCTGAAGAATCTCCTGTTCTGCAGAATTGCGCACTAAAAATAACAGGGCTTCTGGGGAAAACGTGGTTAGGGAAGGTCACTTAAACCCAATGCAAATTTGTAATCAGAGCACTAATGTAAACAATAACCATTCTAATAAAAACACTCAGGAGTGTTTTTAAAAAAAACACTGGCATCTGCACCCAGCATCACAGCCATCAATGCTTGGTAGCCTTCACGCTTCCTCTTTCCCCAACGTGAATCCTCAAGGGCATTTACTTTTAATAGACGCCATTTTCATCAGAATTAAAAATCTAATTGAGGAGTAACCAACTTTTTAGAATCACACAGTGAAAGGTCTTCACAGCTTCATTATCAGTACTCACAGCTTCACCAGCTAGTTTAATGTGATGGGAAATTTAGAGGTTGTTGAAATCACTAAACCAGTCACAAAAAAGGGGCAGTTTTGTGCAGGATTCTTCTTTTTTTCTGAAAGTCTTCATATTGTGAAGGCTTCTCTTTAATTGTGAGAAAGCTGGCTCCTGATCACGTCAAAACTTAAAGTGCTAAAACACTTCACACGTGAACCAGTTGGCCTTCCACCTAATTTTAATGACACCATTCTCCTATTTACCAATCACTAATGTGCTATTTGTGGTACACAAACCCTTGTAATGGAACAGAGTGTAAAATATAAATTCTTTGCCATCAAAGGTATAAAATCTGCTTGAGAAAACAAACAAGGAAACGAATGTGTGGAACAGTAAGAGCAAATTGGCTGCCTAATTTGGAGGTCCTGACCCAAAATTCAGGATAATGTGGTGAAGGGGTGAGATTTGTCAGGGCTAGAATAGAAGTTTTCAAGGAGAACTTGAACTGCCAAGGGCTGAAGCAGAAATCATACTTGAATAGGCAAAGCAAAGAAAGGAAGTAAGGAAAAGACAACATATGGAATGGCCTGGAAACAATACTGACCAATAATGTAGAGGGGCCAGTGGGGCTTGAGTAGAATGGTGAGAACATAGATGTTGAATAATAGTAGGAAACATGGTTCTCCCCATAGCGTTTGCCCAGTATGTAAACAGATTTAAATATAAGACATAATAGTAGTGACTGATAAGGATATTTAGCAGGAATGTTATAAAATAAAGGAATATTTTAAGGAGCTGGTCTGGCAGTGGTATGCAGAATAACTGGACACTGATTCTCCAACTTATTTTTCTCTCAGTGCAGAATTGTTTTTCCCCCAAACAAAACCTTTACAGAAGCTCAGTATGTACAACAGATACAAATCTAGCTGACCTGTTTGAAGTTACTGTGGGAATGGAGATTGCAGTCCTCATGACCGCTTGGCTTCTCTCTTATCCTCTGAGGCGACCCTTTGAGGCACCAGTGCTGAGCTCTAGCTAAAACTAGATAGAGTCCTGCTGGATAAAGTCATGAGGATCAGAGCTAGAGTAGCCCCAGAGGAAATAAAGAGAAAGGAACGAATCCAAGAGATGTTTAAAGGAACACACTGTTCCTCTCCACAGATTACATACAGGAAACAAAGGGAATGAAAAAGTAAACAAGAATTACTAAAACGTTGGCCCAAGGCAATAAAAACCTAGTAGTAAACTGGGAGATAGTATCTTAACAGGTACTTGTCGTTGGCAGGCAGAGCCAGACCAAGGAGCCTGATACCCAGACACTAAAGAGACTCATTAGGTCAGGACAGGAAAGCTAACAAGGTTTCTGTAGTCACCAACAGAAAGAGTCTGGAAAGGCTGGTAAAGCAGAAGGTTGTGTAACAGTAGGCAAGAAGGCAGACAGCTAAACTCTGGAAGTCTAACGATGGATGTCCTGTCAGGCAGGCAGAGAATAGAATCCAGTCTGGTGGCAGGCACTAGGCAGAGAATGAAGCAAGCAGTACGTAGTAGGAATCCAGTCAGGGGGTTTGGGATTAAGAAACAAATGAACAATCCCTTAAGAGGTCTGGAAAAACAGTGCTAAACAAGGCAGCGCACCAAGCCTAAATGAATCGGCATGTCAGGTGAAGTCCACGAGAAAAGGCAGAGACAGGCGAATAAAAATGGCACCCAAGAGACCCAGTTACTTCAACTGGTCTGTGAGATCTAAGTAGGACCAGAAGCAATAGGCCCACTGGATGCTAAGCCACCAAACTACTGAAATACTGCTCCTTAAATCCTTTCTGAGTAGAAGCAGGATTGGTCCCAGTAGAAGAAAAGTGGACAACAAGAAAAGGCCTGGAAACAGTAATGACCAATAGTAGTCACTTACCTGGATGTAAAGGTTAATGTGTTGAGTTGTGATGATTACAGGGTTTGGTGTAGCTAAGACATAGCCCAACAAAAATCAGTCTAAGAGATAATAGTGCCAATGTCTCCTTTTGGGGAAAATGTTGAGACTGCTAGAGACTGAGAATTCCCAGATTCGTGCTATCTATGGTTTTATACAGTATGCTGAAAAGCAACCCTTTGAATTTTATCTGGAAAATATGCTTCTAACAAAGAACAGACTTCCTGTTCTACATTAACCAAAGCCCCCAGAGTGCTTTTCAAGAGTGGCTTAACAGATCATAAATGGCAATTGTCCAATCTATAAGTTACTAGGACATAAATGTAGTAATAAACAGTGAGAGAAAAACGTTCGGTTTGCTTGCTAAATTATGTGGATCACAGAAGCACACATTGGTGGTTATAGGGATGCTATCTATTTAATGAAATTGAGGTTTTTTTTAAATCAGTATAAACAGTCTCTTGAAGATGAGTATAGTTCAAAATTGAGACTACAATTATGCAAATAAAATTGATTGTCTCTTTTACTTTGTGGTTTGTGTTTATTTTCTGACCTTTTCAAAATATAATTAACTACATGAAAATTAAGGAATATATGTTTGACATCTGTAAACAATAAAAACATTTTCATATCTGGGCATCAGTAGTTAGGCAAGTCTTAGAAATAGGTTTATTTTTGTTTTACATATTCTCCCACATAAATTTTAACAGCTTTATTGAGATATAATGCACATAACATACAATTCACCTTTTTAAATGTACAATTCAGTGGTTTTTAGTATATTCCCAGAATTGTACAACCGTCACTGCAATCAATTTTAGAATTTTTTCATTGCACCAAAAAGTATCCCTTCCTTAGCCATCTTCCCTCCCCAGTCCTCCCAAACCACTCCTCAGACCCCCACCTCAACCCCCAGCCCAAGGCAACCACTAATTTACTTTATGTCTCTGTAGATTTGCCTATTCTGGACATTTCACATAAATAGAGTCATACAATATATGGTGTTTTGTGACTGGCTTCTTTCTCTGAGAATAATACTTTCAAGGTTCAAGCATCCCACATCAGTTTTTATTTGTTCATTATTACCTATTTTTTTCTTGGATGCAAATACAGATCACTTGTTTAAGCCACCTCCCCTGTTATACAAACAGTGACATATACCTACTTAAAATTCCAAAGAGTTGACATTTTCACACAAACACCAACCTTGCCCCTCCTTTCCTGGCAAAACCAGGAGATCTGGGGTTTGATTTTCCTATACAGTGATATAACAGAAGAATTTATTTGTGACCCAGGGCCTAATGTTTTATGGAAATGACCACAAGCACCATACTTAATCAAGTATACATTATGTACCAGAATAACTCTTAGAAGTTTACATAAATGAATTCAACAGAGAAACCCAGAAACCAATTACATTAAATTGTGTTTTAACTAATACAGTAGCAGAGAATATATAGGTCTTTACTTTCAAGTGTTCCATTATAACATTTTAGAAACTAAAATGTACATCAGATTCATTCAGGAGGTCTTCTTTGAGATTTGCACATGAATTTTTAAGAAAATTTTTGGGAAAGACTTTTCATCATTGGATGATTAATTGAAAACTAGATTCTAGGATATCTATTTTGCTGCTACTTTTATTGTATTTATTTATTTTCTCAAGTAGCCCTGTATCATTGGCTTTCTGCTGCCTTCAAAACAGAAAGGCTAATGTGAGCTGCCGTCTCATCAGTACTAGCAGCTTCACCTCACACCCTGACATTATACAAGGGCAGACCTGCCTCTAAACTCTATGAACCAACCCTGATTTGCATCAGAATTTCCATCCTTTAATCCCTCACCATGTTGTTGCTTTACACCATCAAAATGCCTCAAAGCCTTGGCTTTGATAGTGGCCAAATTCAAAGACACACAGGGCCAAGCTTGATCCTAAATCTACAGAATAAATCTTTTCCATCACAGGCACAGCCCTGTGATAATATATAACTGTTATTAAAAGATTGCTTTTTTCCCTTTATACTATTTTCGATTATTAAAACTGTAAAGTAATTAGATTTTATTTTAGCTGGTATATTAGAACTTATACATATAATTTTAATTAAATAATATATTAACACATATTGAGTAGTAACTATATCTAGGGCATGGTGCTAAGGATAAGTGACATACACTATGAATGATCTCAACGGGCTTAGGATGTAGTCAAGGCAACTGACAAGTAAGTATACATTTAACTGCAAAAGAATGTTACAGAAGCATATAGGAGGAAGAGAATAGGGGAAGTTTCATGGAAAAGCTGGACCTTTAAGTAGTATCCCAAAAGTTGAAAATTAGAGAAAAGGGCATTTGAGAAAGAGGGAACAGCATGACCTACAGCATAGAGAAAGGAAAATGTGGGCTGAGTTTGGAAACTGACTAGTCATCTAATGGGGCTGGAGGGTAGGTTTTGTAATTGTATAGTGGGAGATAAAGCTGGGAAAGCACAATGAGACCAAGGTGGGAAGTCTTGGAATGCCATTCTGAACTCTGAATTTATTATTTAAGCTGTGGAGAGTCATGAGAGATACATGAACAGGAAAAACACATGAGTAACCCTATGTTTTAGGGAAATGCTCTGGCATTGGTATGTAGGATGGTTGTAAGATGAGAAACTAGAGGTGGGGGATATTAGGATACCACTTTCAAAAGCCATTCTCTCATTGGGGAATAAGTATGTTAGCTCAACCTGAGTGCCAGCAATAGGAACCTGACATCATGTAGGTATCCAAGATAGTCCAGAGAAGGAGGAGCTAGAAGGATGAGCCAAGGCAAAATCTGCTAAGAATAACCAATGAGTCAAAAATAAACAGGGAATTCCTTGGTGGCCTAGTGGTTAGGATTCCAGGCTTTCACTGCTGTGGCCCAGGTTCTATCCCTGGTCGGGGAACTGAGAGCCGGTGCGGCAATCAATCAGTCAATTAATTAATGTAAAAATGCACAGGACTGGGACTTCCCTGGTGGCACAGTGGTTAAGAATCCACCTGCCAATGCAGGGGACACTGGTTCAATCCCTGGTCCGGGAAGATCCCACATGCCGCAGAGCAACTAAGCCCGTACTCCACAACTACTGAGCCTGCACTCTAGAGCCCGTGAGCCACAGCTGCTGAGCCTGTGTGCCACAACTACTGAAGCCTGTGCACCCTAGAGCCCGCGCGCCACAACTACTGAGCCCACGTGCCACAACTACTGAAGCCTGTGCACCCTAGAGCCCGCGCGCCACAACTACTGAGCCCACGTGCCACAACTACTGAAGCCCACGCGCCTAGAGCCTGTACTCTGCAACAAGAGAAGCCAATGCAATGAGAAGCCTGTGCACTACAATGAAGAGTAGCCCCCCCACTCACCACAACTAGAGAAAGCCCGCATGCAGCAACGAAGACCCAACACAACCAAAAATAAAAAATATAATAAAATAAATTTTAAAAAATTAAAAGAAAATGCACAGGACTAAAGTCTCCATTAGACTTGGCTTGTAGACCCAAGAGTTTGTAAGGTAGAGTCAGGATCGTAGGGAGAAGGTGTCTTAAGAAACAAAAGAGAATCAGTAGTAAACAGCCTGGAGGCATCCATAGCTTAACTTTATTGCTTGGTGGATATGAGATGCATGGATGTGTTGGGCTGGTTCAAGCGACCAGGGGCAGTTAGTTAGATATTTTGATGATAGTCTCACGATAATAAGACCATGAATTAGGGCAGTAGAAAAGAGAATGGAAAGATGGGAACAGATCTCACAGGTAATAGTTCCAGGATTTGATGACCTGTTATAGGCAATGGGGGAATGGGAAAAGTAGAAGATAATTCTGAGGTTTCAATACTGAATAACAGGGAGAATGATAATATTGCAATGCAGATTAGGAATCTAGGAGGAGAAGTACACTTGGAAAATATAATACTGAGTTATGTATGAAAGAAACCACATTTCAGGTGCCTGCAGAAGGAAATGGCATTAGACATTAGGTCTGGTGTTTTTGAGAGGGTTTGGAGACAGACATGAAGATTTACAGTCATTTACATAACTACTAGGTGAAGATGTGGCAGTAGGTAAGATAACCAGGGAAGAGAGTATAGAGGGTTATGGGAAGCAAAGAAAGAAGTTTGTTGGAAGCTCATTTTTAAGTGTGGACAGAGGGAAAGAAATCATCCAAGGATATCACTTAACAAAGTTTACTACTCCTGGTAGGTTCTTTGATTTCAGTACTGAGTGACAGGGAGGGTCGTGATAGCAGGATACTAGAATGAAGACTGGGAATCTGGGAAAAAAAACATTTTTGATATTGGATGGTGGGATGCTAAAAAAACATTCGGACAGGTAGGATGGGATCCAGGAAAGTACAATGACACAGAGGCCAGACATTAAAGAGATGGTAGCCAGCAGAAAAATCAGAAAGGATGAAGCCTTTGGTGATAATAAATACAGAAATTGGGAAACTGATGAGCAGATTTCTTCTTGGAAACAATACCCACTTGGAAGACTATACACACGTTAAATTAAAGCTAATGTTGCTCAGAACTCCACCCTTGAGATGGCTTTCAGAGACAGTTCATCAACCAAACAATAAAAACAGTCTAGTTTCTTCAGAGAATGCTCACTCTTGACATACACATGCGTCTCTTTTGGCTTCTTTCTCTCTTGAATCCTCTCTTTTCTCTCTTCCCTCCTTTCTCTCCTTTATTCAGCTTAGTTCATTATCTTCCCCCTCCTGCCAGATGTAGTAGTTCTAACCCCCTCACTGCTCCATGAAAGTCTCTGCTGGAGTTGGCTTGTGACCAGACACAGGGTAGAGGGGCTATGTAAGGTGGAGGCTAGATCCAAGGAGTCAAGTTGAAGCTAATAGCCAGGGGGAGCAGTACTCAGAATGTATCAGAAAGGAGACTGCCTGCCATATTTTATTTGTGTGCTGGAAGCCTGCTCTAAGTGCTAGAGGTTTATATCATGTAAATTACATTAAGTTAAAAAATGCCTAGATGTATCTTTATATATTAAAAAACATACACAAAGCACACAAATAGATAGACACATAGGTAATCCTTAATTTGTCCTGTTAATGTATACACATGCAAACATATCCAAATTAATAATGACAGAGAGAATGAGTATGAATATGAGAGACCACATTCCTTTTGGTTATTCAGGAGTAGGTTGCACCTCATTTTCTAAATTTATTCTTCCTCTCAGTTACTTCTAGAAAGCTGAACTAGCTTAATTTGGACAGCAAGCTACATTTTAGAAATACGTTTCAGAAGCTTTAGCACATAAATCTTAACATCTTGATTCTGAGTTCTTACCTCTAGAGAGCACAGTGAGTTTCTACCTTTAGAGTAACCCAAGATCAGGGGCTCTGATTTAAAGACTTGCCTCTGGGTGATGGTGGCATATCCAGAGAGTTTACCATGTGGGCCTCAGAGGTCAGGATTCTTAGCCACACCTGCCAGCTTTGCACATCAAGGCAGTTCACAAGAAAGGGCCTAGTGGACAAGCCATAGAGATAGAACGGTGATCTGTATGAACAGTGTTGATCTAGAACAGTGGTTCTCAAAGTA